GAAGCCTGAAATAACTGTAAACTTCTTGAACTACTGAAAGTAGTGCTGGAGTGTAGCTCATAACCAGGTATTACAAAGTGCTAAATATTATCCTTTGATAAGTCTCATGGCATTTTTAGCAGAAATTAAGATTTAATTTTTCATCTGCTAGTGCACTATCAATATCCTAGACTATCAATATCTAGAGACTAGCAGCATAGTTTAAATACTTGAAAGTGGTCACCAAAAGATGGGATAGTAAACTATTATTTTTGTTCACAAAGCACATTTGCCTTGAAAACCCTAAACTCTTTTCCAATGCTTTTATGTCAGCCTTTGGTAGGTGTGACATCTCATTTCACAGATGAGATGTCACTTTCATTAAGCTCAGTAAAACAAAAGTCACCAGAAGCTATGTGATCCAATTGGTGTAAAGAAACTAATTTTGAAACATAGTACCAGGTTGTTAAACATCTTTTAGAAAATGTACAGAGAAGTATATTCTCAGACTCAAATCTTGGTGTTCATATTTTTTGATAAAAGCTCTGCCTGTAACTCCAAATTTCTTATTTTTTTTCATGCTGTATGACTCAAAAGAAAATCCATGTTTACAGTCAGTGAAAATATGAATAATATAGAACCCAAATGTGATACAGAACATAAAGTGCAAAATTTTGAATCAAGCAGACTGATTTTGCAGAATTTCTATTCAAAAGGGTAATTGCATTGTAAAACATTTCTTCTTTGATTTGCAATATACACAGTAACAGGTTAAAGAAGTTGTATGCTTTCTACTTCATGCCCACACCTATGCTGTGAGATGCACTTAACATTTGAGTAATATTTAAAAACCAAACAATACTGTTCCTATTTTTGGAAAAGGATATCTATTGGAGTGTTGCAGAAATACTGAGAAAACACACTCAGCAAAATAATATATTTGGTTTTTAATTCAGATGAAGATTTACGTGAAAAATACAAGAGAGTCAGTATTACATGCACTGAGTAAAAAAAGCACTGCAGTTTCACATAGATGTCCCATCCAAAAGATAAGCTTGTTCAATGATTCTGTCAAGTATTTGCAATGGAACATAAAGTGAAGCAAAAAGTTAGTAATACACAGTCATAGTTGCTCCCTTTCTTATCCACCCTAACAGCTAAAAACCTCAGCAAGGCTTTCATCATCTAGTATCTCATTTATTGTAATAACCGTTCCCTGAATAATCCATTTGTCACTGCTCATATCTTTCCAGAATGCTGTTGCAAAATTCATTTCCATGTCAGTTTTACATGAACTCTCCCTTCTCCAATACATCCTGTATAAAGTAGGGCCTGTGTAATTTTACATTTCACATTGATATCTGGGACAACAGTACTAGCAAACTGTATAAAGATTAAAATGTTCCATGAAACGAGTAGTACTGAACTTGTGCTGTCCGGTTAATTTTGATTGCGATCTGCATTAGCTCCTTCTAATCTTTTGCTGTTGGTTCATGCTTGCAATCCATACTTCATAAATTTAGAGACTTTGAATTTTGTCTTTTAAAAGCATAGCATTGAAATAACACAATGCAAAACAATTTCCATTTCCTTTCCACGTTGCAGATTTCTGTATGAAATTTTATAAGGTAATTAGCTTCATCAGCTTGCTTTCTAAGGGATTTTTAATAAATGACTGCTTTTAAAAATTCCTATCACAGACAGTTATCCTTAAATATAACTATTAAAAATATAATGTTATCTAAGGTTGTATGCCATGAATAAATCCTTACTCTTGTTTCAAGACTTGTGCAATGTTTAATTTGAGCCTGAGTGAAAATATCTTTTTCTTCTATCTCTTTATATGTAAATGTGTGCAAGTATCTATGTATTATATTTATATTGGTTAACTGCATATTGCCCAAAGTGCCCTGTAGTGTGCTTTTAAATTCTACATGTTGTTTTATGCTTGCAAGAGTTGGCAAGTGAATATACTGAATGTTTTGGCCTGAGCTACATTACAGGATTGAGGTCAGTAAGTTCTGTTCTATTAGTGTTTCTGAAGAAACATTTCCTCTAGGAATTCTGTGACACCACTGTCCTGATTTGTCCTGCCACAGCATTCTTTCAGTTCTATTTTGTGTATTAACTTACAATTTAACTTTAAGGAATTGTTTAATTATTCTTCAAGATTCTGTGGATTAAGAGAGATTCATGAAAAAGAGATGCTAAAATCCAACTATACATTTAAAGTTCAGGAATTCACTAGGTCATTTCACTGGTAATAATATTTTCACATTTCCAGAGAGTAAGCAGTTGCTATTCCATATTTCATTAAGATAGGTCCTCCTTCTTTGGAAATTTAATGCCAAAATATCTAAGCTTATTATCTCTACACTTTTGAAGTCATCTGTCATCCTTTACTGTTTAAGCCAAAATGCTATATCTGTGATTTAGAGTATTTTAATTCATACCTTCATTGCTGAAAAAAATCTCAACTTTCCTGTAATCCATCCCAACTGTATTATGTATATCATATGAAGAATGTACCATCCTAAGAATATGACATCCAGTTTCTGCTCCCAGTAGCCAAATCCCTCCACCTTATTCTGTGTCCTCACTCAACTACACAAAATGGCTTTCTAATTAAAAAAAGTGGTAAGTATTAGAAATGTCCATGTCTTTTTCTTCCATATAATGTTATTGTTTCTGGATTTTTTTACTAGTTTTTTGCTGTGAAATATAGGAATGAAAAATATCACTTCTACCTAATAGCAAGTTCAGTTTTGTAAAAACAAAAACAAGGAATTGGTACACTAAGGATTCCTGCCCCGGGCTCTCTCTAAATTACATTATGCTCAGAGAAATTTGGTGTAGTAGCTCATATTATCATTACTATTTTATATAATGAAGAAAAAAATTGCAAGGCCTAAGAATGATTTGCAAAGGACCCGAAGTCCTTGGATGGCTGATCCCCCTTTTTTGTGTTATGGTGCATGACACCAGAAACGTTAACACTCAGCAGCTGTTGCTGGAGGCAGTGGGAGATGGAAAATGCCCCCCCAAACACTGAGTGCCTTTCAAGGATGAAACCATGGCTCCACTAGAGATCTCTATCTCTGTGCTGGTGTCAGTTGCACCCTGGCATGCAGGCAACAAGGTGGGTGGCAATGAAGTTCCTCTGGTATTTTAAAGTACAAAGAGTCTGTGAGTTTCGCTTAGCCCACATCTTAACATTATTACTCTTTTACACCCCAAATAAACTCAGATATGCCAAATATACTTACATAACATGACAGTGATGGACTTGATCCTGCAATAATGGGCCTGGTGAAGGTTCCATGGTCCATAACAAAGTATGGACTGGAATAATAAATGATAAATAATAAAATACATAATTTAGTATTGCAATTATTTATTGGTATAATAATTATATGTAACCTGTAAATTCCATAAAGAAAAGTGACATCAGAAGTACCAACAGCTACAACACCAAGGAAATTATTTTGGATTTTACTCAGTAATTTAGGAGATTACAGGACAATGTCTTAATTTATTATTTTAATTATTTCAGTGCTTTCTGATTAAAAACCCTGCAGTTTTCTTTGGTGGCTCTTGCTCTCACAAACACAGCTCATGGCTTCCCTAGAGCAAAGATGACAGCTGATGGTCTTTTGATTGCACTCCACATGGGGAACTACCCAGCTGGCTTCTCTGAGAGGCTGCCAGAAGTTTCCCCGTGCCTGATGGAGCCAGTGCCACCTGGAGCCGAGATGAACCTGCTGCTGGGCGAGGCTGAACTGCAAATGAAGCTGGAAGTACCTCTGGGATAACATATTTAAGAAGGAGGGGGAAAAATGGTGCAACTGCAGCAAGAGAGAGAGATATTCAGATTTGGTTTTATTTCTCCTTATACTACTCTGGTTTGATTAGCAATAAATTAAAATAATTTCCCCAGGTTTCTTATCAGGTAGAAAATACCAGAGTTTCACGACTAAGTTTTGGGGATATCTCTTGTCCGGAAAAGATAGAAGAGGAAAAAGCCCCTTCATCACTTGGAGGTTCTTCGCCCTTTCTGGAGCTCTGGGCTTGAAGGGATGTTGCTTTTCCAGCCATTGATTTCTGCAAGAAAAAGATGGGACTTGTAGAGTCTACAAAGTATCTGTTTTGCAGTGGGCCTTTTTTAAGAACTCTACCCACTTAGTTTGCTGGTGTGTGTGCAACACGCTCACTGGGAAGATTTGCTTTTGTCTAATATTAGGCAGGAAAGCAGTAAAATGTGCTGGGTTTGGGAATAATTGGAACCTCAGTATTAAAAACAAATTTTAAGGCTATTAATCTAAAAAAATAATTCTCTTAACATTAATCTCTTAGATGAATCCCATAGTGTTTTTAGAGGAACATTAAGCTTCTTCAAAGGAGCTGGCAGAAATAGGAATTCCATATTAAATGTTTCCTATGGAATTACTGGTATTGTATCCATATGTGTGTATGTTTGTGTCCCCATCAATTCCCCTTAAAAATATCCTGTTTCTCCAAGTTTCAAGGAATGAGTGCTGAGGTGAGAGAACAATTTAGTGACCCAAAGTAGGGATAACTTGCAACATTGTTAGGCACCAGAGAACTTAGAAAGGGAGCAGGATGAATGCCTCCACTTAGAGAGAAAGCTTCAGAATTGATTCTCCACTGAATGACTTGCACCATCTCAGAGCCAGAGGAGACCCAGCTGCAAGAGTTCTTCTAGTTCTCCAGTTCAGGTAATGTGGTATCGTCTCTTTGATGGAGTCAGGATCCTGTGCATGCTCAGCTGGAGGCACTTTACAGAGAAGCACAGAGAACACAGATAGCCTTCCCTGCACTGCTTTCCCCTGTCCAGAGGACTCCCAAGGCATGCCCTGATGGGAAGGTCCTCAAAGCAAACTTGCCATAGAAGAAGTAAATGAAGCAAAGGTAGCACAACCGTTATTTATGCCCGTTGGGTTCCCTGGGGTTCTGTATGGAATGCTGGGCTTGTGCCCCAGCAACCGTTGTTGTCCCCTGCTCCTGCAGCAGTTGGTGGAACACAGGTGGATCACTGGTGGAGCAGTAGCTGCAGGATCTGGTCCTGGGCTTTCTCTAAACAGCCAGCTCCTAGCCTCAGCCCCGGATCTGGCTTCTGGGTCAACATTCTCATCTCCTCCTGTGCTCCCAGAATTGCTTCAGGGCTGCCAAAGGTAAGAAAATCCTTGTTTGCCCTTAAACTGGTATCAGAAGTGCAGGAGAGTCCAGCTGGCTGTCCCACCAACCACAACAAACATGGTCTATGGTCGCTTTCCCCAGAAAAGGTTATAAATTAAAGTGGGGTCCACCTTCTCTAGGAATAATTATGCCTCCAGTGGAAATGTGGACATTTCAATAGACGAGATAGGGAGATGTCATGGTGCAGTTTCAGATCCTTGTCCACTGATGATCTGATTATCAGTTCTTGGTACCTCTTTAAGTAGTAAAACTACATTGTGGTTACCCCAGAACAATCCTATCATTACAGAGGAGTTCAGGAGTTGTGTCAGCAAATACCATTAAGCCCTGACTCTGCCCACAGCTTCCCCAAAGCTTTAGAAAACAGAATTATGTGACTTCTCCTCTGCAATTCCTGTTGTGCATGGGATGCAACCATTTTACTGGGCTTGTCCTCCAATACTGGCTTTGACCCCCCCCAAAATGTTCTGGTTTTAATTATTATTATATTTGTATATTTATATAAAATTTAAATTTGTATTTATATTTGTATAAAAATTATAGATACGTTCTATTTTAATATATGTATATAGACTTTTTATTTTTTACATATATCAAATATCTTTTCTAGATAGATATTTGTATAAATTTCTCCATGTTTTTCAATCCCTGTGGGGCTGGTTCTGCCCCATGGTTAGAGGCAGCTGCAAAATCCCATCCTGAATAGTCCCTCTCAGGAACAGAATCACAGAATCTTCTGAGTTGGAAGGGACCCACAAGGATCATTGAGTCACCCCCCAAAATCACGCCAAGTGCCTGAGAGTATTGTCCAAATGCTTCTTGAGCAGGTGAAGTCAGGCTTGCTGATGTGACCACTTCCCTGAGGAGCCTGTTCCAGTGCCCAACCACCCTCTGGTGAAGAACCTTTTTCTAATATCCAGCCTATAGCTCCCCTGACTCAGCTTCCTTCAGGCCTGTTACTGGTCACTAGAGAGAAGAGATCAGTGCCTGCCCCTCCGATTCCCCTCATGGGGAAGCTGCAGACTGCTATAAGGTCTCTCCTCAGAAGTTCCAAGTGAAAAACTCAGCAATTACACCAAACTGAGGGGAATTCAATGAGAATAGATAGTGGTTTGCAACAATGAGGATGAGAAGGAAGTCTACAGGGCAGCGTGGGCAGAATGATTTTTATCTGGAGCATTGTTTTGACCTCTTTCAGGTGGAAAGGAGAGGGAAAATGAAGAGGAAAGCAAGAGTCCGCATTAAGCCGTGAGTTCTGGCATAGTGATTAAAGGACAGCAAATCTGGGGAATGGCAAGGAGGGAACTGCTATTTCACAGTCAAAGTGGGATTGGTTCAAGCCCATGGGTCCATGGGATGTTCTCTTCACCACCTGCCTTTCTCACCTCCACTTCCTTTAGACACATCAATGTTGGCAGCGACTTTCAGGCTGAGCTCCCTGAGCTGCAGGCCAGACCCCCAACTGAGGATGAAGAACATGCATCCCTGGTCTGGAAGCCGTGGGAGGACACTGATTCTGACATGGAAACACATGACAGAGGTATCTGCATGCTTTTTTCCCACCCCTGAGATACTTGGGTTTGAAAACCCCTCATTTTTTGGTAAAAAAGAAGCTTCCTTCATGCTTCGCTGCTCTTCTTGTCTCTCCCATCTTCCCACATTGTAGTATTAGAGGGAAGGAGATTGCTCACTTTTAGTAGACCAGTAAAAAGAACAACTTTTATGCTCAAGGGCATTTGTCACTGGCCAACAACTCTGAAAGAGGGGAGATTTATCCCTACTTACCATTACCAAAGCTGCTTTTAAGAGAGAGACAGCACTTCCTTGGGACATCTCAGCCTTTCTTCCTGGCCCTTTCATGTTCGTCAGCCTATCTTCAGCTCTTCTGCTTTCCTTCTCCCTTGTAATGCAACTTTTCCCCTTTCTTTGCCCAAACCTGACTTTCTGTGCATTTTTAATGTGCTTATAGTGAGAGATCTGCTTGACATGGCCATCTCCAGTGGCATTCCTGGGGCAGCAGCTAACCTGGAGCTTGCCCTACACTGCCTGCATGAGGCGCAGGGCAATGTTCCGGTAAGAAGCAGATATTTGGATGGAATGAATAGGGGAATTAATGGACAGAGAATTAATAAGGACTGGGGACTGGGACAGCCTTTGCTGCCTGCTCTTTGAAGAAGGGATTTAACAAGGAGCACTCGCCATGTGCTGTGTCTCCACGAAGAGGCTCTGCCAGCCCAGGTGCTGCAGCAGGGAAAAGCCCAAAATGGTTCAAGCAGGGGGAAAGCCTCTCCTGGAGGCACTGGTCCCTCAGCTTGCTCCCTTAAAATCTCCTGGGGATCTGTATTCTCTAAGACATTTTGGTGTGGATTGAGGAAAAATTTCCAAAAGCCTCTGTGGGCTGAGGATGCAAGATGAGCAAAATTATTGGGTTGGTGAGCAAAATTATGATATTGGAGAGTAGAACTGAAGGGCTGAGGAGCAAAATGAGGGACTGAGGAGCAAAATCACAAGGTTTTACCAATATAATCAAAATCTTCCTCCAGCAGACTGAATCACTGAAGTGGCAAATTAGCTGAAAGAAAGCATTTACCTTTTTGATTCCTTGTGGTTGGGATGCTAAAGTCTTTTTCTCCTCAATCCTGCAGGAGGCTCTGGAGATGTTCCAGTCAGGGCAGCCTCAGACACCTCAAGGCCATCCCTTGGCTGATTATCATTATGCAGGTAACTGAAGTAGAGCTTGTTCCTTTGCTGACAGATACTGCCATCCACTCAATTGCCATGTCAAGCATTTATTGTTAAAAAAGTAACATGAGAACAAGATCTCGTGTTCCTTGGGGGCAGGGAAAGCAGCAGCATCTACCCTTCAGTTTAAATGGTTTTCTGTGCTTTTTTCCCTGGGGAATGCCTGTTCTTGTCTTCATTGCTTTCCAAAGGAGAGATGTCGATAATTGAATAATGAATGACGCTGATTCCTCTTCGGCTGGAAGTGATCTGTTTTACCAGAGGGATCTGTTTCAAATTGGTAGAGTGATCAATTTACCTGTTGCTTTTTATTGCCAGGCTCTGATACATGGACACCTCATGAGAAGGAGTCATTTCAAATGGCTTTTCACACCTATGGGAAGGATTTTCATCTCATCCAGAAGGAGGTAAAGCCACTGGACATTATTTGCCCTAATGGACAATTACAATGGAATGTTGATTATTTCTGGTACCAAATACCAGAATTCAGTATCTCTCTTCTCGAATACTAGAAGTATTAAAATAATAACAAAATGGTACACTGACTGCCTGTGTGAAAGGTGTGATTCTGCCCTTCCAGTCCTTTTTTCCAAGCTTTTTTGGAACAGGAAGGTTTATTTTCTGTCAGACAGACCTCTCCTGTATGTGTGCTGGCACTTCCATGGCACATTGCAGTGGGATAACCGGAGAGAATGGGGAAAACAAATATCATGCTGGATGGATTTGCTGTTGATCTGGGCCTTAAATGTTTTGCTATATGACATAACACGTTTAACTACATTGCATAATACCTACTTTATTCCCTATGTATTTAATTTTACTTCCTATTCCTCTTGCTTCACTTTTTTACTTGCTATTTTACTCTCTACTCTAATTTTCCTCCAATGCACAGTACAAGATTGCCATTTTAGATTCCTTCTGTTGTCTCACAACAGATTCAAAGTAAGACTGTGGCACAGTGTGTGGAGTACTACTACTCCTGGAAAAAAGAAAGTAGGATTGCTCCCCCTCCTGCTCAGGTGAGTGGGAAAAAAATCAAGAAATGCAAGGAGGGTCAAAAGGTTGGGAAAAGGCGAAAAAACCTGCTGGGAGGGCTTGCGGGATGCTGCTCTGCCAGGAACACATCGCCCCGTGCACTGGGAAAGGCACAGCAGATGCTGCCCAGGGCTTTATTGCATTGCTGCTTTGAAATACTGACTTCTGTTGAATAAGTTTGACCCAACAAAGCCACGCCATCACCAAAATGGGCTTTGACTCCTTACAGACTTCTTTCAAGAAGTGCTGGCACCCTCGCTGATTTCAATCAGATCCTTAATTCCCCACTACTTCCTAACATGAGTAATCCTGGTTGTGTTAAACTAGAGGCTGCAGATTTTCAGGGATCTTTCCTAGCATCCCAGCACGCTCCCTAAAAGGAGCTGCTGGTGCTGTGGCTCTGGTGAAACTTTTCTTGCCAGCAAACAGGAATTTGGTTCACAGAAACAGAGAATATTTTGGGTGGTAGAAACTGGGTAACTCTGTATCTTCAGTAATTCGACTGAATTTTTAACCTGTTCCCTAGACATTTGTGGAGGAAAAAAATACATAAATAGATAATAAACTGAGAGATATAAATGAGAAATGTAGAAGTAGCTATATAGATAATTACATATTTATCCCACCACTTTGGGCAGTAGAAATGAGATGGTTTTTCTTCCAAGCACTGTGTGTGCTCCCCATCCTTGCAGCCCAATCCAGGCATTTTCTCAGCTCTTTAGCGTTTGGAGGAGTTTGCTTGGGCCGATACATTTTTGTACTGGACACTCTAATTTCCAGCTTTCTGAAAAGAAGGAAAAATTCATAAAGACTCTTTGATTTTTTTCAGACTGTGGGTGGATCAAAGAGGAGCATAAACCCTCCCAAGGAGGAGAACGGGGAGATGGAGAAGAGAGTCCGAAGAAGGCCCCGCAGCACTGTATGTCCATGCTGCAAATCGCCACAGCCACCCCGCTCAGCAGGAGGCCTGTTTCCGTGTAGGACATGCAAACGGTGTGAAACTTATTCTTCCTTCTGCTAAAAACCTGCTGCTTTAGACTAAAACAGACTGAACTTTTCTAAGGCAGTTGGAGGATCACCTCTCACAGCTGTGTTCAACATTACAACTCACTTTAACCCCAACCAGCTTATTTAAACCTCAGCATTCAGAACTCTTGCTGTGTCCCAACAAGACAGAGTTCATAGAAGTAGGAACAACAAAACTTGGTTTAATGGAGTTAATCAGATTAAAAATATGATGTCCTGAAAAGAAAGAGAAATTTGAAAGAGTTGAAATAACAAAGCTCAGTTTCATGGTGCTTATCAAATTAAGAATATGTCAAATCCCCAAAAGATGGAAATTCTTAAAAATGGAAATCTTGAAGCTTGGTTTAATGATGTTTACTGAATTAAAAATAAAGGAATTCAAAATGCTGCTTTGTTTCCTAACTTGCAGGGTGTTTGAAACAATGAAGGAAAGGAACAGACATGAGAGAAGGCATTACCCACAGAAGGAAGATGAGCCTCACCCCAAGAAGAAAAGAGCAAATGAGGGGTTGTCTGGGGCTAGCAAGAGTTAGATGTAAATAAGAGTTGATGTAAATTAGATTGGTTTTTAAGGTTTTAGGGTTGAGGTTTTTTCCTGTTTAGTTTATTAGAAAGAGATTTTGGTTAGTTACTGTAAGAGGCTTGGTGTTATGTTCTATATTTTATCTTTTTGCATTTATTAAGTCATTAAAGCAAAGTTAATTCCATTTTGTCTCTTTGTCTTTATGAAAACATTATCCAAAGTTTGTTATGCTTCCTTGGTGTTGTGAACAGAGCATTTGCCACAAAAAAAGAACCTGGGCATGCACATTCTTCTGCAGGCCCAGCCTCTCGCTCAGCAGGCGGGGTACTGCAAAGGGGGGTCCTCATTACTGCCACTGAAACAATGGTGGGATTTTATCCTTTGATTCGTAGAAATATCAAGTGGGAGTGAAAAGGAAGGCTTTGATTAATTCAATGAATTGGATCTAAATTAGTGATCTCATCTCATTGTACTTGGAGGGATAAAATGCTTTTTTTTTGGTCGTTTTTGTTGCCAAGCCACAAGATTTTCATGGCTTTATTTTATTTCAGTAAATGGATGGACTTGACCACCTTCAAGGTCTTTTCCAACCTGTCTGATTCTATAAAATTAATATCCACATTCAGTACAAAGAAATCAGTAGTTCATTTTCATTTTCTCTTTGATAAAAAGACCAGCCTCCAGCTCTGGGCCTCAATAAACCTTACCTAATGCAGAGGGGTGCGAACACCATCCTCTAGCTTCTCATAGCTTGTATTTGCAACAAAAAAAGCATCAAAGTCACTTTTTTATCTAGCACAGTGCATGGGGGGTGCATGGCAAAGTTTTGGTAGCGGAGAGTGGGGGAATGGAGTGCAGGATGAGGGAGGGGGAACTACTAGTCTGGCTCTGACAGGCTTCCAGGAGCTTCCTGGTGTCTGATGGAGCCAAGGCAGGTGGGCATTGCAGAGTCTATAAAGTACTTGCTTTGCAGTGGGCATTTTTTAGGAACTGTACCCACTTAGTTTGCTGTTGTGTGTGCAACAAGCAGGCAGGGAAGGAAGTGGGACTTGCTTTTGTCTAATATTAGGCAAGAAAGCACTAAAACCTGCTGGAGTTTGGCATATTTGGAACCTAAGTATTAAAACAAATTTTAAGGCTATTATTGTGAAAAGGTAATTCTTGTAATGTTAGTCTCTTAGATGAATTCCACAGTGTTTTTAGAGGAACATCTAGCTTCTTCAAGGGAGGTGCCAGAAACACATAGGAATTCTGCATTAGATGTTTAAAGGTACATGATTGCTTTAGAGCAATTGACTTTCCCATAAATTTCTATTCTCCATGTTTTTAAGGGTTTGGGTGGATTAGGTATTGTTTTGATACAATTTTTGTTATCAAGATTGGTATTACTGTGATCTGCTCTTTATATTAATGTGTAACTTCTCTCTGCTCCAAACAAAAGCTTGCCCTAAAACCCAGCTAGATTTAAATAATAGCAAGAGAAGAGTTTTAATATCTTTTCTTATATATTCTTTATATCCTTCAGGTAGCAATTTTATTACATTTTAAAGCTTTTCTGTTGCAACCATGAGAGACAATATTTAAGATAGGTATTTTCATGGGCCTATTTTCATCTGACAGTTGAGATTAATTTAATTCCTATTAAACCCTGATTTCTGTTGCTTCATAACTCTTCCTGTTTTCATATCACTTCTTCAACTAAATAATTGTTTAAATAAAAAAATTCTATATTAGTTATTTACTTAGAACAACAAAAATACAAATCAGATGGCTCCACACACAAAGTGACAAATGAAGCAATGAAAGCCATAGCATCCAACAGTAATTATAATAAGTGGCTTAGCTAAAAATTTGTAAAATGAGTATCTCATCACTCATTTTGACTTGCCTGTCTTATTTAGATGGAGATGTCTCACAGCTTTGCTGTAATTTAGCTTTAATAACATCCCTGTTAAGTAGATGCCTGTTGAACAGACAAGCATTACTTAAATAATGACACTTCAGAAGTGAATTAACTTTCTCCTTTGCAATTAAGTAGCTGTTCATCACCATTCATCAGCTTACTAAATCATCTTTCAGTATCTTCATTATTAAGTATTAGCCACCCACAGTGTAGGCCATACAGTAACTCCTTTCCAGGACTAGGTTTGAGTCCTTTACATACTGATGGTACTGGAAAGGAGAGGATAACTACTCAAAAATCTCAGGATAGATGACTTTTAAGGTTATGAAGAACAAAGGCATTTACTTGGCTGACACAGTAATAAAATGCTAGGTTATTATAATAGTGACTTGTATATAGAACTGCTTTACTCAAATTGCATACACATCTACAAGCTCCATATTCTGCCCCAGATTTGTTAGATTCAGATCACGAGAGAATAGGACAAAAAGTGTATGAGGCTTTCTTCATATCTTCTATGAAGATATTACACTAACAGTAAATGTCTGTTTTCTAAAACATAAAAATCACAGAATCACAGTTGTCAAAGGTCAGCTAATGACTTCAGTGACTTAGATTTCCCATGGGCCATAAATCTTTATCTGGTTAATCCAGTTTTGAGCCAAACAAGTGGAATTTAAACCAAGCAACTGGAGTCTGTTGAAGAAAATAAGCACATAGTCCTCATCTGTAAATATGTTGGCTTTTTTTTTTTTTTTTTTTTTGTTCCAGTAACTAGCCACTTTAATTTTATGGATAGGCAGCTTATTCTGTATTTTATGGCTTTAATTTCAATTCATCACTATTGTGCATACCTTAGGTGACTTCATTCTTTATTAAGTTTTATTTTCCCCCGATGAGATACAGGCACATCCTAAAAAAAGGCACCTTTCATCTCTCTTTTGGTTATCCCAGTAAAATTGAACTGATAAAGTTCTAAGTTTCTGTAACGCTTTCTCTTTTTTTCAAGTTGCGAAAAAGTTGTTTTCAGTCTCTTACGTATCTTTTCTTGTTCACAGAATTACATAGGATAGTAAAGGTTGGATGAGGCCACTGGTAGTTATCTAGTCCGATCTCCTTGCTCAAGCAGGGTCTCCTAGAACAACCGTACTAAGGAATGTGCAGACAGCTTTTGAATATCTCTGGAGAAGGTGTCTCCACAACCTCTCTGGGCAATCTGTTGTAATGCACGGTCACCCAGACAGTAAAGAAATTCTTCCTCAACTTCCTGTGTTCCAGTTTCTGCCCGTTGCCTCTTGTCCCAGTCAGGGACTCAGCATCACTGAGAACAGCCTGGCTATACAAAAAATGTCCTCTTGACAGACTCCTATCAGATACTTGTATACATTGAGGAGTCTCCTCTCAGTCATTTCCTCTTGAGGCTGAACAGGCCCAGTTCCCTCAGCCTTTCCTCATAAAAGAGATGCTCCAGTCCCCTCATCACCTTCACAGCCCTCTATTGGACCCACTCCAGTAGCTCCATGTCTCTCTTGTTCTGAGGAGCCCAGAACTGGATACAGCATGCCAGGTGAAGCCTCACCTGTGATGCCAGCCCAGCTGATGCTAAAGAAAAAACCTCAGGAGCAGCGAGGGTGAGATAAGGAAAGGGTTTGATTTGTGCCAAGGCATAGATGTTACAGGACACGCACACCGGCTGTGCCTGAGATGTTACATTTTATAATACTATCTGTCCAATCCCAAGTGGTTCCACCCCATTACTTTTGCTCTGGTCCGCCCTGGGCCCACCCCCTGGGAATTGGGTCTGGGGACCTTTTGGGACCACCTCTTCATCACCATCACCATCTTCAGAGCACAAAGGGTACACAGTCACCCAGTTCTTGACTGTGTTCTGTTTTCAGGCCAAGATATGAGTGTTCTCCAAACAGCCTAGGCCTTGCCTTGACAAAAGACTAAACATTTCTACGGAATTCAGGGGTAGGATTGATGTGGGGTGCATGGAATGGGGTAAGAGTGTTGAGGAATGTGTAAAGTACTTGTGCTACAGGGTGAGCGATAAGGACTGCTGCTTCTAAAATCTACTTTTACCACTTATAAAACTTATAAAGCTTACAAAATCAGAAAAATAAGAAATTAAAAGGGTCTTAAAGGCATCACCCGGGCTGAGTAGAGGGACAGGATCAGCTCTCTCGACGTGCTAGCAATTCTAAGCTATTACTAATGCTTAAAATAATTAATTAAATAAAAAATACAATAGTTTTATACTGATAGCAGAACTGAAAATGATAGTCCTGTACTACTTCTTTTAACTACTTTCTTGAAATGCAGCCTGACTCCATAGAAATTACAAATTTCAAACTAGTTATGTAACGAATTATTTGACTTCTTTTTTTTTTCCCCTTGGTCATGGGACTAGAACACTTTCCAGTATATTTGCCTGCCTTTCTTCCTCTTGTTTTCAAGGCTTATGAAAGGTACAGTGACTGCATATCCATGACAGATGGTCAAGTAATACATATTGTGAGCGGAAAGTTGACTTACATCTCCAAAACCTTGCCTGGTTTTTGATTTCTTCTTGGACGGGATTCATTTGACTAAATGAACCTGTCTTACCAGTATTTTACAACGTATTTCTCAACATCTGATCTATTTATCAAATACACCATCTACACTTAACAGTAAGCAATAGAAATAGAATTAGACACAGAAATAATAGAAATAGTGTGTGATACAACCGACCAAGCATAGATATCTATTTTAGAACAAAATTCTTTGGTGTCCAGTAATAAATCCTATTCCTTGTGTAGATTCCTGTTCCATCTTGAGTGTCATTGATACCTTTGTTTTCTCTGCCATTTTAACAAGAAGTATTGGGTGATGACTGATAGGCTTCTTCTAGAACAGTTTATGAATCTTCCAGGATAGCAAAGGAAATCTGCAAATATACCTTAATTTTAAAAATTATACCTCTCTTCAATTTTTATGTCTTTTTGCTGGTGGTAAGCTCTGTTTCACATCAATAGAACCAAAATTGCAGCTGTCTCAGGAACAGCTTTTCTTTTTAATATTTGTTATTTGGTAGCTGTCTGTTTTGATGCAAAACTGTTTCCAAAATCATGGTCATTTGGCACACACTTCTGTGCCTTGAGCACCTTTCTGGATTTCAAATCAGTTAGTATATTTCTAAAAGTTTAGCCAGGCTGTGGAAAGAATATCTGTTTGTTAGTTCCTTGCTATTCAAATACAAATATGAAAATTATGTTCATATAATCTAATC